GTCCCGGCAGGGCTCGCCAGCCCGACGCGCCCCGCGGGTTTATATAGGGCCACGCCCACCTCATCTGCATGTCCCGAGCGGCCCCGGCCCCGCCCACCAGCCCGGTCCTTCCTGGAGGCCAGGCCGCTGCAGAGCGCCGACAGGAAAAAAGGGAGACGAAAGCTGGTCCTCAGAGCGCCACGCAGGTACGAGGACAAAGAATCACCAAATCGAGGTATCTTGGTAGAGACAGACATCCATGATGTATTGTTAGAATCGAATTGCAGAACACGTAATGCAGCCCGTTCAAATCGAACACGTGTTCAAATTAAACCTTTCACACATTAAAACAAAACCCCTATACATATATGTTTGCATGAGTAGCAAGGAGTCGGGATAATCATTTTATTAAGAAAAGAATAATGGGGCCGGGGATTTAGCTCAGTGGCGCCGCGCCGGTCTTGCAAGCGCAAGGTCCTCCGTTGGATCTTCGGTAATAAACCAAAAAGGACCCCCGCCCCAAAAAGGACCAATCTAAAAAATTTTTATCAGCTTCTCTAGAGACCCAGGGATGTGCTTGGTGGAAAAGCACTTGCCTAGCATGCATGAGTCCTTGGATTAGATCCCCAGCTCTGCAATCAGTCGATCAATAACAGATGATGAGAGAGCCTGAGAAACTCGTGCATGAGTTCACCAGGCAGAAGAAGTAATCCACCTCCCTTTCACGGAAGAGCTTCCTTTAGAGACAACCTGAAGGCAGGCTCTGAGAGCCTTCCCCTCTGCAAAAGGAACTCAGGGTACTGAGAAGCTCACTGGGGAGGCTCTTCAAGCACATTCTCAATTGGAATATTTTTTTAAATCCCCAGATTGCCTAATAATATCTTCCTTATCATCAAAAGCACATACTTACCTACTTGCAATGCACTTCTGAGCCACCCACTGCCCTTGTCCTAGAAGGAGCTTGCAGACTGGGGCAGGTTCCCCCCAGGTGCCTGCAGGGGTCCCCTAGGAAGCAAGTTAAGAGTAGTAGCCTGGCATGGTGGCTATACACATGGAGGTCCATGCCGCATCCCTCAGCACTCACTAGGGAGTGCTCGCAGGGCTCGGTGTTCAAAGTGCTGCTGACTGTGTGCCACGGCCTAGGAGGTCTGTGGGACAAGTTGCCCCTGAACCCCAAACCTGCTTCCTGAAAAACCCCTACTCTTCAAACAGTTCCAGTAGAGAGGAGTCCATTTCTAGGCGAAGGTTAGGACTTTCTCCCATGGATGGCCCAGGCAACTGAGAAGCTACCAAATGGAAGCTGTTCCCCCTGATCATTTCAATATTGAAAGTATTGAAGGGCCCCTGGACCAAGTTGTACAAGTGGATGTGGGCTTACTTGAGATGAATGAGGCAGATTGAAAAGAAGAGGACGGTTCAAAGCGTTCCCAAGACAGGTCAGAGCACAGTTCAGAGTCTGAGGGCGAGGATGACAGCGTCACTTGTGAAGTCCCCGTGGATGACATTAATCTTCCTAATCCAGAAGGTGGAAAAGGCAAGATGGACGTTTTGAACAGTCTGACAACTAAAAACAAGGAGCAGTGAAACAAATGATCTAAAAAGAAACTAAGAGATACTGCTAATTCTGTGAAGAAGAATCTGGTTCTGGGTGTTTCGCATTGCTGCCTGCAGTGCTCTTATGTGTTAGAAGAAAAACTTTAGAGAAATGTAACTGGTTGAGCAAAGAACAGTTCATGAATCAAACAGCACTCAAAATGGAAAGGGGTTAGAGAGTGCTGCTTTGTAGCGGGACTCACAAAGAAAGTACAGAAATAACTTGATTAGATACAGTGAGCCCTATGCCTTGGGTAGACATGATCTGATCCACTGGGGGCCTGAGATTGGCTGGAGGTCAGCCGTTTGTGTTTTGGCTGAAACCGAGCTATTTATTACCAAAATACATTCCTATTTCAGCTGTTAAAGATCTTTCCTTTGTAGCTGGGCGTGGTGGCGCACGCTTGTAATCCCAGCACTCAGGAGGCTGAGGCAGGAGGATTGCTGTGAGTTTGAGACCAGCCTGGGCTACGTAGCGAGTTCCAGGTCAGTCTCAACTACATAGTGAGACCCTGTCTCAAAAATACAAAAACAACAAAAAAAGACGATCTTTCCTTTGTGAGTCACTTTATGCACTGTGATTATATTTCCTTCTCTAAATTTTGTTCAATAAGGTAATACTAGTTATCAAATAGTCATTTCAAAATAATTGGAAGATTTTGAATATTTTACTACAAAGAATGGTAAATGTTTGAAGTAATATATATATTAATTACCCTGATAGGATCATTACACAATGTTTACAGGTATCAAAGCAACACATCCCAACCCATAAACATATACGATTATATGTCAATGTAACTAAATAAAAAGAAAAAAATACACTCCTAAGCAAAAAAAGAGTAGAAGCCTGATGCTAATTTAGTCTTTTTTTTTTTTTTTTTTGAGACAGAGTCTCACTATGTAGTTGAGTCTGACCTGGAACTCACTATGTAGCTCAAGCTGGTCTCGAACTCACAGTGATCCTCCTGCCTCAGCCTCCTGAGTGCTGGGATTACAGGCATGCACCACTACACCTGGCCTCTAATTTAGTCTTTTTATTGCAGCCACATTAAGTGACACCAGGCCAAGAGTCCATTCTCTGATGCCAAGGCAGCCTTTCATCTGCCATACAAAAACTCACTGACATACGTTCACACAGGCAGTCAGATATTCATGAGTTTTGGGAAGGGAGACTGTGGGCAAGAGGAAGAGTGGGGAAGAGGACTATTAGAGACAACTCTGTTTCTGAACAAGTTGGTAGTACAGAATTCCATAAATTCAAATATCTAGATCTCTTTAAAAGTCTCAGGACTCCTAATGTACCCTTCCTTCCTTTCTCCTCTTCTTTCTCTGTTCAGGACAACAGTAAAAAGTTTTAGATTTAACCATTAACATCTTAACTATAGAGAAATAATAGGACCCTCAGAATGGGCACATCCCAGGGTATACATCCTCTATCCCCTACATCCATGTCTGGGGTTGCTTATAATCCTAAAGGTAGCTGGAGAGCCTCCAGAACTCTTCCACATAAATTTATCCATCTGGTGCTGGGTGTAGTGATGCACACCTGTAATCCCAGCACTTGGGAGGCTGAGGCAGGAAGACTGCCTGAGTTTGAGGCCAGCCTGGGGTACACAGTGATTTCAAGACCAGCCTAGACTACACAGCAAGACCCTGTCTTTATTTTGTTTTTTGTTTTTTTGAGACAGGGTCTCACTATGTAGTGAGACTGACCTGGAACTCACTATGTAGCCCAGGCTGGTTTCAAACTCACAGTGATCCTCCTGCCTCAGCCTCCTGAGTGCTGGGATTACAGGCATGAGCCACCATGCCCAGCGAGACCCTGTCTTTAAAAAAAAAAAGTTTATCCACCTACCAAATGAAAGAGGCCTTAGAGGCTTTAAGTGTTTTCCTACCATTGTGTCCCCATGAAAAGCTATTCTTTTTGTACTTCTGGAAAAAGGATTCTAAAAGACCAAGCCAACAAAGATGTATCCCAGTGTCCCCAGTTCTTTGACTGTGTGACTCCTACAAAATCATTTCACCAGTTTCAGTGGTGTAAAATAATAGGTGAAGTATGTGTATCTCCAAGACGTCTCTTGGTTCTAGCAGTGTTTGATTCAGGGATCCTGAGGAAGCTGCCCCAGCCTAGGTGTCTGGGAAAATATTACTGTGTGTGCGCATGTGCACGTGCACACATGCGTGCACACACACACACACACAGACACAAACACACACAAGCAAACACAAACACATTCATGCCCATGCTCTCTTCTTTACAATGTTCTTGTCCTTTTACCTGGGTCTTAATAATAGCTTTACTGCAGCTGTGAATTTGAGGATAATCCTGTCGAATTCCTTCTGCAGGTAGAGGGGCATACATAAATAACACAAAAGCAGAGATGCCGGCTGGGCATAGGTAAAAGTCCTGAGACAGGCCATTCTTCTCTGGCCGCATGGGTGGGGACACTTTCTAACCTAGGTCCCTCTGTCTGAGCTGGTTTAGGTACAGTCTTGTCAGCAAGAGGGGGAGGGAGGAGACAACCTGGAGAGCTGGTGAGTCACCTGTTTCTCAGCTAAGGACTTGCAATTCTGGCTGCAACTGCTGGGAAAATCCTCTCTGAAGGACAGGCTGGGTCTTATTGGTGTCTTCCTGCCAGATCTGCCCCAACTTCCAGACACACATTTGCTAGGATTAAAACTTGGCCCTGACACTCCTCTGTAGAGAAATGATAGATTTTAGGACTGGGACAGGAAATGTACAAGATGAGCCTGGAGCAGTTTGTTTACAGAAAGTAAGAAAGTGCTACAGAACCAAAAATATTAGGAAGATGCAGGTAATTCATTTGGACACAGAAGCTAACTGAAAGAGCTTCCAACGTCCCAAATATTTGAACAATAACAAAAAAATAATTTGGACAAATTAATTTGGAATAATTTGAACAACAAAATACCCAAAGTATAAAATAAATACTTCTATAGTCATACTGATATGAATGGTCCAATATATTAAAAAATGGGGGACCCTAGAGAAATCATCTTCACATAAGAATTCCAAATAAGAGCCAGGCATGGTGGCACACACCTATAATCCCAGCACCTGGGAGGCTGAGGCAGAGTTTGAGGCCAGCCTGAACTATATATAGAATGGCTATAAGATTCTGGTTCAAGAAAACTTCTCAAAAAATCCAAATAAGCCAGGCTTGGTGGTGTATGCCTGTAGTTCCAGCACCACTCAGGAGGCCGGGGCAACAAGATTGCCATGAGTTCAAGGCCAACCTGAACTACACAGCAAGACCTTGTCTCAAAAAAAAAAAAAAAAAAA